GCTGAGCATATTGCTGGTTAGATGTACAAAACAAATTAGCTGAGCATATTGCTGGTTAGATGCACAAAACAAATTAGCTGAGCATATTGCTGGTTAGATGTACAAAACAAATTAGCTGAGCATATTGCTGGTTAGATGCACAAAACAAATTAGCTGAGCATATTGCTGGTTAGATGTACAAAACAAATTAGCTGAGCATATTGCTGGTTAGATGCACAAAACAAATTGGCGGTCACAGTAGTTATATGATGTAAGTGCCTAATAAAATGATCTAAAACTGTTTGTGATTAAATTTGTTGGCATACTTGTGTAATAAGTGCAGTTGAAGTACATGTATATTCAATCCTGTTCTCAAAATACATTATTGTCCCACAAAAAATTAACTATAATAATACTAAAAAATTTCGTTCCTTCATAATGACTGGCAACTAAATATTATTTTATGCATGCTTATATATATCTATTCATACTGACTATTTAATTATAGTAATTATAGTAATTATACGATAATTAGCTATTAGATATTATTACAAGCATAATGTACATATATTCACTCATGATTACAGTCAGAATAGCATCAATCCTCGTCTATGGCTTGGATAGATACAGAATTCTGGCGGTAATTACTCAAGCTTGACGTAAATCTAAAAGAAGATATCATGGGATTTTATATAAATATATAAGATAATGGTATGCAAATTATATAACCAAATATTTACAAAGAAAATCCCTTTGTATGTGAGTACCATACATACATCAATTAAATTGGTTCAGACAAATGGCATCACAAAACACAAAAACTTTGAAAAGTTATATCACCTTATTTGTAGAGTCATGTTCTGCAAATACAAATTAGGAAAAACACAGTTTCATCCACCGACTCGTAAAAATATTTCCAGAAACGTATATTTGTCATTCGTATGATTTCAAAATGGGATTTCATTACGTATTATTGGTTGAATACCATTATCTTACAAATTCTTGATAATATACAACAGCCCCCTTATGTCAATCTTAAAATCCACAATGAAAATACATAATACCACATTATAAATCTACAAATATTAAAACTAAACTATAGGCCATAACAGAGCCTAACACTCACCCACGGCCAAGAAATATACGTGAGACAGCCATAGAGGGCACAAACTCACACAACAAGGAACATATGTTTGACCATGAATTTGTTTCCTACAACTAACCAGAAATATTGTCAGTTAACTGGCTGACAATAAAGCTGTGTTGCAAGAAATGTTGTCTCCAAATCTGATAACAATTTACTGGTTTCCTGAAGCAACATTGTTCGCAACACATCTGTATTGTTAGCCCATATGCTGAGGATATTGCTTGGCTAGGTTAAGAAACAATATCAATCCCACAGTAATACAGTTACAAGTATAAGCATTGAAAATAATAATATACTATTTTTATACAAGGAGTTCATTAATTCAGTCAAATATTGTTTGAAACTGATTACAAAATTGGTCGTATACAGCCCTAGATTTAAAAGTTCTCATAGTGGTGAATAAATGCAGCACCATCAACTTTATTTAGAGCTGAACAAGCTTTCTCTACACCTCTTGTCATGGTGGGCGGTCCACAGCTGAAAACACCAATTTTTGATACCTGTAATGAAGCAAAATCAGAAGAAGTTTTAAAATTCAGTTATTCTGACTTGCTTTCTGATTTTATTATCATATATAACATATTGGCCAGTATAGTCACATGCTTAGTTAATATAGTCACATGATTAGCCAGTATAGTCACATGATTAGCCAGTATAGTCACATGATTAGCCAGTATAGCCACATGATTAGCCAGTATGGTCACATGATTAGCCAGTATGGTCACATGATTAGCCAGTATGGTCACATGATTAGCTAGTTTAGTCACATGATTAGCTAGTATTGTCACATGACTGGCCAATGTAGCACTAAGAGTGATGTTGGGGTCACTTTGTGAAGTAAACATCTAACCTCAACTTCAAAATTGTAGATGACAGAATACATGAATGAAGCTGTGGGAAGGACTCGGACAATGTTCAACTGCGAGATTTGATGAACTTTAATTTTTTTTTTAAAGCTCAATGTGGAAATGAGGGAGAATATGGCATTGAGATACTTTAACTTGACCATCATCAAATGTGTACAGCACATTGAGCACAGAGATGCTGCAAAAATACTTTCTTGTTTAATGAATCGCAAAGGATTTTCAGATGCCACTATGACCTTTTCATGCATAACACAGGATCTTACAGTGAATGAAAAAATGACAATACTGATCAAATCAAAATTATAGAGAAATCTGGAGACTCACCCCGGGATGTTCCTGTTGCAAGGAATCCAAGAAAGAGTTAAAGGTAGGACGACCAAAATGTGTGATTGATCTCAACCCAGTAAACAAGGATCGATTTGATATCTTTTGGAAATGACGCTCACAAATGTACTGCAAGAAAAAAGTAAATATAGTCATGTTAAAACAATCAACCATGTTTTCTTAAATACCCCCATTCAAAGATTGCAACAGCTGAACTGACAAACAATGTTTACATGACAATTAAGGTCACATGATTGGTCAGTTAATTTCTGGTTGGACAAAATATGTCACATGATACTAACCAACATGGTGGTCCTCAAATCAAATCTTTGATAAAACTGGGTAATAAAGATGTGAACAGACACCATATCTTTGATGTCATTCTCTTCAACTTCTCGTATGATATCAGTCAGCCACTCATAGTGTTTTTGAGTACGTGTTACCCAGATGAAGTATACCTATGGAGAGTAAAACCACATTGAA